TCTTCTGTTCAGTTCCCTCACTCCTTTTTATATCTTTTGGGTTCTGTGATACATTACAAAGTCCCACAGAAATTCAAAACCCATCAGGGAAGTGGCTCAGGGGACTGTGGGTGATTAAATGTGTTAATATGTTACTTACTTACCAAACTATTAGGTTAAATAAAGCTAAATAATGTGTTAAATCTCCTCCCAGGTGATTGACAGCATCTGAAAACCCACTAGAGGGTTGTTATGAGTTGGTACCAACTTGACAGTACAAACAACATGTTGTTAAAATGAAACCAAATCCAAGGGAGCATTGGTGGCCAAGTGGCAAGAAGATGCACTGTAATCCTGAAGGTGCATGGTGCGAATCCACCAGACGCTCTGCTGTAGAATAGCGGCAATCTCCTCCTGTGTGAGTTGGATCCAATTCGATAGCACACAACAAGAAAAAAAAATAACCCAAAACCAAACAAAAAAATATAAACCAAATCCAGTGTCAATGACTACATAGTATATCAAGGGCTGTAAATCTTACAGAAGCCGACTTGCCTCATTCTTCTCCTGAGGAGCTGCTGGTGGATTTGAACTACTGATGTCTCAACCCAGAATTCAGGGCTAATCTAATTAAAAGTAGGATTGTAGTCTGTACCTTGAATTTTCATTTCTATCAGGGATTTAAGGAAGACAACTCTTTGATTTTCATTACTGTGTATTTCTACCAATCCAATTCAGAAAGCAGGGATAAAGCAGACTGCTTTTTCCCAGAGGAACGAAATTGTAATTCAAAGTTGAATGGGTTTGTTGTTTTATTTTTAAACTTTAAAATCTGGTGTAATTCTCCAAAGCAGAGGATTTTGGAGCTGGGAGAGTTTTTCCAAAAAGGCTGAGTCATGATGTCTTATTTGTTGTGTTAATTACTTGTCCGTGAACTCTGACCCTATGTGTGCAAAGTAGAAGGGATTTTCAAGGCTGTGACCTCTCAGAAGCACATGGTCGCACCTGCATTTGTCAAGACAGATTCCACTCCACTACATTGCTTCTCTTTCAAATATTCAGAAGTCACACAAGTAGCTCAAACGTTCCTTAACATTTTTGCAGGGTACGTATATATAAAATAGAGAAAGTTCTATAGTATAATAAACGTTACTTATTGAAAGGACAATGGTTATAGAACAAGGTCAAAGTCTTTTGTTTATGGGGTCAGGACTAGATGGCACTTAACAACAATATATATTGCCAACCCCTTGTCTTCCATATTGGACTTCCATTGGCTCGACTCTGTATGATGGTGCTCTTGTTTTGGTTGAGGATCTGTATGTTTCATTGTTTAAGCCTCTTGTTTAGTGTCAACAAGATGTCCAGGACACTTGCATTTAAGGCCAAGACCTTGTCTCCATTTTGGAAACTGGGTGAAGTGACTGGACTCTGTAAGATGGGCTTTCTTGTTTTGGTTTAGGGTCATTGTGGAATGTTTTCTCTCCCCCCCCCCTTTTCCCTTCTCTTTTTTATTATTATTAAAGCATCTTGTTTAGAGTCAACAAAACCTCCTGGAGGGTCCTTATATTTAATAAGTCGGGTATGAGGGGTTATCTTTGAATTTTTTGTTACTATATTTTGGAGCAACATTCTTCTAAGTCGTACAGCACTCTTCTGTCAATGTGCTGTGCTGAGGTAATCTGGGTTTGCTGTGATGCTGAACCTTGTACCATTGGGCTCTCAAATTCCATAATGGCTGCCCATTAGTGGAGTTCCCAGTTTTAAGACAGGTTGGGAAGCAGGAGTGGCATCCACTTCCTAAACCACATGCCACTAGAAACTCTATGAACTTGGAGAAACGATAGTTATAGATGGGCCTCAGATCTTTTGTTCATAGAGTCCCTATGAGTTGTTCACAACTCAATGGCAATCAACAACAACAACAACATTGAAAAATACACTGAGCATATTATATATTTAAACATTGAAATACATAGAAATGATTTGGAGGATGGATTTGAAATTCCTTTTGAGGATGATTGGAATGGCATGACACTATTGTTGTTGTTGTTGTTGTGTGCCGTTGAGTTGCTTGTGACTCATAGCGACCCTAAGTACAATAGCTCTAAACTTTGCTCTGTCCTGTGCCAATCACACCGTCTCTGACACACCCACGCCAATTACCCCAGTCTTATTCAATTCACCTCATAGAGGACCTTCCTCTCCTACGCTGTCCCTCCACCCTCCCAAGCATGATGTCTCTCTCCAAGGACCGGTCCCTCCTTACAAGATGACCAAAGTATGTCAGATGGAGCTTCAGAATCCTTATCTCCAAGAAGCCGCCCAATTTAACCCTCTCCAGAATGAACCTGTTTGTTTCCTTAACAGTCCATGGTACCCTTAATACTCTTCTCCAGCACCATAGCTCAAAGGCATCAATTCTCCTTCTATCCTCCTTGGTCATTGTCCAACTCTCTGATTCATAACAAGTGAATGCAAAGACCATGGCCTGTATCAGACGCACCTTAGTCTCCAGAGAGACACCATTGCTCTTCAGTACTTTGGAGAAGTCCCTAACAGCAGACTTTCCCATCACAATACGTCTTTGAATTTTCTGGCTACTGGTACCTATTATTATTATTATTTTTTTTTAAAGAAGACAATCCAGACTATTTGGTGGAAAAAAATCCATTATTTCTGTTCACTGTAGTTTCATGCTTGTTCTAGGAATAAAGCAGATGTAAACATTTTTCAGGTTTAGGAAAGAGAACCGAGAGAGAGAGAGAGAGAGAGAGAGAGAGAGAGAGAGAGAGAGAGGGAGAGAGAAGAGAAGAGAAGAGAGAGACTGCCCACTGAAAGGCTGGTGGGGGGGTGGTTTAACCAGAGGCATTGTGGAAGAAAGGCCTGGTAGTCTCCTTCCTCACACTGAGCCATTAAAAACCCTGAGCAGCACAGTTTTATGCTGATAGACAGGGTCTCCATGAGTCAGAATTGGTTCAGTGACAACTGGTCTATGGACGGCAATTTAGGAAAGATTTCTAGGACAAGAGTAAGGAGACATGTTCCCTCCCTCCAAGACCTGCAGATATTCCAGAAGAAATGCAAAAGAAAATGAATCCATAACATCTATGTGAAGTTGGCTGAGGCGACTTCATAGGCCAGATGAATGCAATGTCTGAAATTTGTGGCCCTACACAGAAAGATGTGACTGCCAAAAGATTAATTTTTCCCCCCATGAAGGGAGCTCTGGTAGCCTAGTGGCAAGAAGCTGTGCTACAATCCCAAAGGCATAGGGTTCAAGGCCACCAGCCTCGCCGTGGGAGAAGGATGGGCAGTCTCCTCCCATGTGATTAACTGCCTCTGAAAACCCGCCAGAATGTCAGGTGGTCAACTATGAGTTGGTTCAGACCAGATGGCAAACAAAAACAAACAACAGTGAAACTTCAGAAAATACTAAAACTATTGACAGATATAGATTCTCACCACTGGACCAGTTGGCAGCATCAGGATGGATGGTGAAGAGATTGAGATTGTACACAGCTTTGGTTTGCTTGGCTCCACAGTCAACAGTCTTGGCACCAGCAGCCAGGAAATTAAAAGGCGCATTGCCACGGAAAAATCTGCTGTTAGGGACCTCTCCAAAGTACTGAAGAGCAATGGTGTCTCTCTGGAGACTAAGGTGCGTCTGATACAGGCCATGGTCTTCACAATCACTTATTATGCATCAGTGAGTTGGACAATGACCAAGGAGGATAGCAGGAGAATTGATACCTTTGAACTGTGGTGCTGGAGAAGAGTAGTGAGAATACCATGGACTGCTAGGAAAACAAACAGATTTGTCCTGGAAAGGGTTAAACCGGGTGGCTCCTTGGAGGCAAGGATTCTGAGGCTCTGTCTAATATACTTTGTACATGTTGTGAGGAGAGACCGGTCCTTAGAGAGGGACATCATGCTTGGGAGGGTGGAGGGACAGCGCAGGAGAGGAAGGCCCTCTATGAGGTGGATTGATTCAGTGACTGGAATAATTGGGATGGAAGTGTCAGAGACAGTGTGATTGGCACAGGACAGAGCGGAGTTTAGGGCTGTTGTACATAGGGTTGCTATGAGTCGCAAGCGACTCGACGGCACATAACAACAACAACATTGACAGAGGGAATGTGAAGAGGAGGTGGTGGAGTAATCAATGTGTAACCAAGTAGAAGAATTGATGCCTTTGAGTTGTGGTGCTGGAGAAGAGTATTGAACATACCAGGGACTCTTAGGAGAACAAACACATTTGTCCTGGAGAGGGTGAAACCAGGCTGCTCCTTTGAGGCTAAGATTTTGAAGCTCTGCCTGACATACTTTTGCCATATGGCCAGGAGAGACCAGTCCTTGGAAAGGGACTTCACGCTTGGAGGGTGGAGGGACAGCACAGGAGAGGAAGACCCTCAATGAAATGGACTGATACAAATAACTGGGGTATAATGGTGACAGGTGTGTCAGAGGCAGTAAGACCGGCTCAGGACAGGACAGGGTTCAGAGCTGTTGTACGTAAGGTCGCTATGAGTCTCTGGCCACTTGAGGGCACATAACAACAACAACCACGTCAAAGATGAAAGATTAGCTGCAATAGTGCTTTATTTTATAGTGCATTTTGTAGTCTACACCCACTAGTGTGACCTTTCTAACACATGGAATACTTCAGAGGGCACTGGGGCCATGGAGTTAGGGCTCTAGAGGATTTCTAGCTACTGTGAAGGAAGGGAAGACCCTGAGCGTCGAAGATGAGTGGCTCTCACACTTCAAACAAAGTAGGCAGAGAAGGTTCTCCTTCATTTAATCCCACTGCCTCTAACGACCATGAATTACTGTGTACTAACCCACATTTACCAGTGTCCCTCCCATCAAAAGCCATTTCATTTCTGTGAAGACCATGCAGTCAGGCTCTTGAATTAAGCACGTGCATTTGGGTTCTGCGTACAGGCTAGGCGGACGCCAGTGCTAAGGTGCAATCTGGTTGTGACGGTGCATCTTTCCAATTGCTCTAGAGGCTTGTTCTAGTAGTAGCTCTGCAGCCACATTTTCAAAGCCGGTGTGAAAATCAAGATGGAGCCTGTAACAGACACTACGAGAAAGAGCCACAGGAAGATTCGGTCAAGAACTTGAGCTACGAATTTCCAGTCTTGAACTACCTAGGGGGAAAAAAGATGTCATTAGTTCAAGATGCTGTGCAACTGTCCTAAATTCATGTGGAAGAATTTAAGAAGAATGACACTCATAGCAGTTAAGATTTCAGAAGGTGCCCAACCTGTGAACCACAGGGTAGGACCACATTCTGTCCTGATATCACTAATGGTGCCCAAGAAGCTATAAGACCTTGTAAGAACAGTTTATGTTGTTGTTAGGGGACGTCAGGTCAAATACGGCTCATAGCGACCCTGCGAACAATAGACCTAAACGCTGTCCTATCCTGTGCCAACCTCAATACTTTCATAACACATGAAATAAAAACAACAGTTATCTATGCATTTGTTAACATTTCAAGTTCAAACTGGGAAAAGTCTGATTTTAAATAAGCCATCAGTGTATTTTAATATGGTTCTTCTTCATGTTTATGTAAAATGAATCGTAAATTTTAAAAATAAGTGTGACTGTGGTCAAGTGGCACAGGCCTTTCACGTGCCAGCATGCCGCTGAAGCTATCTGGAGGGGGAGGACACTGGAGAAGGACTGACCAGGAGACGACAAAGAAGTAAAGAAGTCCTAGTCCCTTTGTTATATGTAACATACCTACGAGTGGGGTCAGAGGAGGAACCAGCTACAAGGTTCAAAGAGTCTTAGAGAGGCGTGTTTTCATCGTGTTTAAGGGAAAATGAATGTATTTTATTCATGGAGATTGTAAAGAAGAAATAGAACAGGAAGCTACTGTTCTAGTGGGAGCTTGGGGAGAGGTTGCAGCAGTACAAAGCTGCTGCTGCAAAACGTGAAAAACACTCTTTCAAATTGCTTTCAGTTTAGATATAAAACTGGGAGATATGCAAAGAAGATAGATTAAAAGTTTAACTTTAGATTGTAGGATTGCTAATAATTTTAATGTTTTTATTTATGCATCTGTGTGTTTTTCAAATTATCTAAACCTCCACTCCAAATAATACATAGGCTTAGAAAGGACCAAGTAGAAAGTTACTTTGAATGTTAGGCTGAAAGAGCAACATTTGACCCAGAATAAAGCCCTGAAGCCAAGAAGGGATAAAACAAAGGGTTAATGAAAATGAGGATTACAGGGAGGAAGTGGGGAGAGTGTAATGGCATTGCTGTTGTTTGGTGCGTCAAGCACTCACATAACAGGGCTTATACCTCTGTGATTGTGAAGGTCCTGAATTCTTATGAAGCTATAGGCTGATCTCAAGGCAGAAACAGAAGGGGAAATTTAAAATCAGGACAGTTCAAGTCTAAAGTCTGTATTCTTTCTATAATTTTATTTTTTTACACAGTCAGCATTTCTTAAGCTCAAGGAACTGAAGAACAAATTCAAACCTTGAGTATCAAGGATACTTTAGGCAGAATATTAAATGATCCAGGAAGTATAAAAAGAAGATGGAAAGAATATACTGAGACACTGTATTGAAAGGAATTGGAAGACACAAAAGAATTTAATGAAACAACATATGAGCAAGAACCTATAGCGCTGAAGGAAGAAGTTGAGGCTACTTTGAAGAAATAGCAAAAAATAAGGCCCCAGGAATAGATGGTAAACAATTGACGTATTTCAGCTAACAGATGCTGCCCTGGACGTGCTCACCAAGTTGTGCCAAGAAATCTGGAGAACAACCACTTGGCCAACATTTGTTCCCATTCCAAAGGAGGGTGATCCAACAGAGTGTGGAAACTATAGAACAATATCATTGATTTCACATGTAGGTAAAATTCTACTGAAGATTATAAAAAAATGACTGGAACAGCATATCAGCAGAGAACTGCCAGAAGTCCAGGCTGGGTTTAGAAGGGTTCATGGTACTAGGGATATTGTAGCTAATGTTACATGAATCTTGGCTGAAATCAGGGAATACCAGAGGAATGTCTATCTGTGTTCCATGGACGATGCGAAGGTGTTTGACTGTGTGGATCATAACAAACTGTGGTTGACTCTGAGAAGAATGGGAATCCCAGAACACTTGACCATGCTAATGCGAAACCTACACTTGGACCAAGAGGCAGTCATTAGAACAGAGCAAGGAAACACTGCATGGTTCAAAATTGGGAAGGGCATAGGCCAGGGATGTATCCTATCGCCATACCTTTTCAACCTGTATGTGGAACAGATTATCCAGGAGGCTGGGCTCTGTGAGGAGAAATGTGGTGTCAGTATTGGTGGAAGATCTATCAACCAACTGCGTTATGCAGATTACACAACCCTGCTTGCTGAAACTGAGGAGGACCTGAAGCACCTGCTGCAGAGGGTCAAGAAATGCAGCCTTTAATATAGATTGAGACTCAATGTCAAGAAGACAAAGATTCTCACCACTGGAACAACTGGCAGTATCAGGATGGATGGTGAAGAGATTGAGATTGTTCACAGCTTTAGTGTGCTCGGCTCCACAGTCAACACTCTTGGTAACAGCAGCCAGGAAATTAAAAGACATATTGTGATGGGAAAATCTGCTGTCAGGGACCTCTCCAGAGTACTGAAGAGCAATGGTGTCTCTCTGGAGACTAAGGTGCGTCTGATACAGGCCATGGTCTTTGCAATCACTTGTTATGCATCAAAGAGTTGAACAATGAGTAGGAAGGATAGAAGGAGAATTGATGCCTTTGAGCTGTGGTGCTGGAGAAGAGTATTGAATGTACAATGGACTGCTAAGAAAACAAACAGGTTCATCCTGGAGAGGGTTAAACCGGGCTGCTCCTTGGAGGCAAGGATTCTGAGGCTTTTGTTGACATTACTTTGGACATGTTGTAAGGAGGGATTGGTTCTTGGAGTGGGACTTCATGCTTGGGAGGGTGGAGGGACAGCGCAGGAGAGGAAGGCCCTCTATGAGGTGGATTGATTCAGTGACTGAGGTAATCGAGATGGGTGTGTCGGAGACGGTACGATTGGCACAGGACAGAGCAGAGTTTAGGGCTGTTGTACATAGGGTCGCTATGAATCGCAAGCGACTCGATGGCACATAACAACAACATCTCATTAAAATTTCTCATGTGACACTGAATTTTTGTGTTAATGAATCTTATTTAGTTTTGCCTTTCATATCTAAATTTATACCTAATTAAATATCATATTTTTATTTCCTCATATGCATATGAAAGCTGGACAATGAGTGAGGAAGACTAAAGAATGGATGTCTTTGAATTGAGGTGTTGGCAAAGAATATTGAATATCCCATAAATGATCCAAAATTACTAGAACAGCATATCACCAGAGAACTGCCTGAAGTGCAGGCTGGGTTTAGAAGAGGCTGTGGTTCTAGTGATTTTATAGCCAATGTTAGACCCATCTTGTCTGAAAGCATAGAGTACCAGAGGAATGTCTTTCTATGTTTCATTGACTATGCAAAGGCATTTGACTGTGAGGCTCACAACAAACTGTGGCTGACTCTGAGAAGAATGGGAATCCCAGAACACTTGATTGTGCTTATGTGAAACCTATACTTGGACCAGAAGGCAGTCGTCAGAACAGAGAGAGAAAATACTGCATGGTTCAAAATCAGGAAAGGTGTACACCAAGGATGAATCCTATATCCATATCTTTTCAATCTATAAACAAAACAGATCATCTGGGACACTGGGCTCTATGAGGAAGAACATGGCATCAGGGTTGGAAGAAAACTAATTAACAATTTATATTATGCAGATACAACCTTGCTTGCTGAAAGTGAGGAGAATCTGAGGCATTGCTGCAGAAGGTAAAGGATTTCAGCTTTCAATATGGATTGAAGCTCAACGTCAAGAAAATTAATATTCTCACCACTGGGCCTGTCAGCAGCACCATAATGGATGGAGAAGAGATTGAGATTGTTAATAGCTTCAGCTTGCTGGCTCCACAATGACACTTTTTTTTTCTAATTTAAATTTATTATTAATTTCAGTAAAAATTTACAGAGACTTTGGATTTACATTCATTCATTGTTTCCACAATAACACTCTTATACTAGCAGCCAGGAAATCAAAAGACAAATTGTGTTGGGAAAATCTGCTTTCTGGGACCTCTCAAACTACTGAAGAGCAATGATGTTAGCCTAGAGACTAAGGAACACCTGATCCAGGTCATGGTCTTCACAATTACTTGTTATGCATCAGAAAACTGGGAAATGACTAAGGGTGGTAGAAGAATTATACCTCCGAGACGTGGTGCTAGAAAAGAATATTGAATATACAGTGGACTGCCAGGAGAACAAACAGGCTCATCCTGGAGAGGATAGGATCAGGCTGTTCCTTGGAGGCAAAGATTTTGAAGTTCTGTCTCACATACTTTGGACATGTTGCAAGGAGGGACCAGTCCTTGGAAAGGGACATTATGCTTGAAAGGGAGGAGAGACAGCACAAGAGAGGAAGACCCTCAATGAGATGGATTGACTCGGTGACTGAGGTAATGGAGGCAGGTGTGTCATAGACAATGAGGTTGGCACAGGACAGAGAAGAGTTCTGAGCTTCTGTAAATAGGGTCACTATGAGTCGCTAGTGACTCAACAGTGCAACAATAATAACCACAACATAAACTGCTAGAAAAGGGAAAAATCTGTTTTGGAAGAAATGCTGCCAGAATGCCCCTTGGAGGTGAGAATGATGAAATTTCATTTCACTTCCTCTAGGCACAGCAGTTCAAATCTACCAGCTGCTCCATGGGAGAAGGATGGGCACTCCCCTTCTGGGTGATTTACTGCCTCTGAAAACCCACTGGAGGGTCAGCTATGAGTCGGTGCAGAGTCAAGGGCAAACAACTCTAGACAAGCTATCAGGAGAAGTCAGTTCCTGAAGAAGGATATCATGCTTGGTAAAGCAGAAAAAGAGCAAAGTCCTCAGTGAGATGGCTTCACACCACAGCTCAGCAATGACTGATTGAAACACAGCAGTAACTGCAAGGACGGGACTCAGCTATTAACTAAAGGGTTGACGATTCAAGTCCACTGACTGCCCTGAGGAAGTAAGATGTGGCAGTCTGTGTAAAATCTCTTGTAAAGATTATAGCCTTACTTGTTACATTGTTCCTATAGGGTCACTATGAGTCAGAATGGACTGGTCATCAGGCATTGCCATGGCATGGATTCCTGCTCATGGTGCCTCCTGTGTTAGAGTAGCTCTAAGAAGTGATCAAGCACTAAACTTCTGTTCCAGCTATTATCACTGTTAGGGGCTTTCACGTCAGTTCTGAGTCATAGTAACCCTGTGAACAACCAGATGAAACCCCACGTCACTGAAAGCCATTCTCACAGTCTTGTTTGTGCTAAAGCCCATCATAACAGTCACTGAATCAATCCATCTCATTGAAGCTGGACAGAAAAACTAACTAGACACCAACGCACAGCAACCCTCCAGGCAGTTTCTGAGGTTGTAAATCTTTACAGGAAGGTACTGCCCATCTTTCTCCCTTTGAGCAACTGGTGTATTTGAACCACTGATCTTTTGGTTAGTAGCTCAACACATAACTCCATTAGACCTAAAATAAGTAGACAGCTAACAATGTCACATTTTAGATTAATAGCCTTTGTAAGTAGATATAAAAATACTCATCTATTTCAAAATCAATCTCCAGAATAGTCTACGTGTTTCCTATTGCCAAAGGGGCCCCTTGGAGTAGTGAGAGAAGATCTTCACCCTGAAACCTACAGCGTCCCTTTTCAGCAGGAAGTAGCTAAGAGAATACACCATCCCCTTTTCCTTATGAATCAGGATGAAGTCTCTCTCAGGGAGGAGTGATAGGGAATGGCAAAGGACACACTGACAAAGGAGATTAATCAGAACTGGCTTTGACAAGCACTGTGGCAATGGGGCAATTAAAACAGACTTTCAAGGGGGAAAAAAAGGAGGAATGAACTGGAGGGTAGAGAAAATAGTGCAACAATGAATGAATGGAAATCCAAAATGTCTGTAAATATTCATTAAAATTAATAAAATTTAATATAAATTTTTTAAAAATGAAAAAATATAAAAAAATCATCTTTTTAAAAAGATTTACCATTTCCCACCATATTATATATGAACAACAGTTTACCCACCTGGCTGATAAAATGCTCTTTCTTCACATGCCTTGAAATGTACCTAATAGAATCAGCAGCCTTTTCCAAGAAAGCAATCAGAACTTTTTCTCCATCACTCATTTGTTTCCTTTTCTTTTTTTCCAGGACTTTAGCTTTCACCGTTGTCTTACTTTCCTCTTTATCTGGGAAAGAGTACCGATCAACATGGTCCTTCATGCAAAGTAATTTAGGGAGTTTTTGAAGAAACAGTCTTTTAACCCAGGGGGCCATGGGGTGGTACGTTGAGGAAGATCTGTGGTGAACATTAATCACGAAAACGGTCACGATGATTGACAGGGTAACAAAAATCATAATGAACAGCAGATATTCTCCAATGAGAGGAATGACTTTTGAAGAAGATGGGATTATTTCCTCAATCACTAAAAGAAAAACCGTTAGGGAAACCAAAACAGATGTCGATAACGAAAGCTTTTCGCCTTCATCAGAAGGTAGATAGAACACAAGAACTGTTAGGAAAGACAGCCCCAGGCAAGGGATGATCAGAAAAAGGGTATAAAACAAAGGCAGACGTCTCAGCACAAAAGAGTAAGTAATAAATGGGTATGAATACAGACCCTCTCTTCTGTTTCCCTTCATCCCTTTTGCATTTAGTATTTCCCATTCTCCGTTGTCAAAGAAGTCTTTTCTGTCAACGTTCTCATTTATCAAAATGAGGTCAACCATGGTGCCATCATAAGTCCAGGACCCAAACTTCATGGAGCAGTTCTGTCGATCAAATGGGAAAAAGGTGACATCCATGGTGCATGAGCTCTTGTAACTGGCAGGAGGGGTCCAAATGACAGTTCCGTTATAATTCACGATGACTTTTGTCATGAGGGAGCCTTCAAAACGTCCATCAGCACTGAAATGGAAGTAACTTCGCTTTAGTGACGGTTACTGTTATGTACCTTCAAGTCAGAACTCACTCACAGCTGACCCTCCAGCATTTTTTCAGAGGCAGTTGTTCACATAGAAGGAGATCGCCTGTCTTTCTCCTGCAGAGCAACTGGCGCTTTCAAACTGTGCTCCTTTGTGTTGGCAGCCTAATTCCGTACCACTAGCTAGTATGTGTTAATATTACGGTTTTTAAAAACCCTCTGTATGACTTGCATCTTATCATGGGTTGGTGGTAAGAAACTGCTTTTAATCCAAAGGCAAGGTATTCAAACACCAATTACTCCCTAGAAGAAAGATGAGCAGTCTCCTCCACGTGATTCACAGCATCTGAAAACCTTGTGGAGGGTCAGCTATGAGTTAATTTCTATTCAACAGTAAGTAACAACATGTAAAGTGTCAAACAACATTCTTAAAAAAACAATGCAGATATATACTAAACATGATACATAAATGCAATATGAAAGATACTTAAAGCAGTACATGTTACTGAATTATTTTGTCAAAATTAGGTTTGTCTAGTCCTTCCCCCAAGATAACCTTTCCCTCTGTAATACTTACTTTTCAAAGAGAACTATGTCAGGAAGCCAGAGAGATTCTGATGGCACTTTAATGGAATGAATTCCACCATATTCATCAGGATTCCAGCGTAATTTGTGGTCTGTCCATTCCTGTATGAAATTATTGTAATGCAATTTTATTTTGAAAATACAATGTACTAGATTTTGAGTTCTGACCAAAAAGAAAAACCCACTGCTGTTGAGCTGCTTCTGACTTATGGCAACCGTTCGTCAGGTTTCCAAGACTGTAAACCTTTACCAGTGGAGACAGCCCGTATTTTCCCTGTGGATTAGCTAGTGAACTGAATCACTGACCTTTCAGTTAGTAGTGCAACATGGTATAAACTGCACTGTCTGGGCTCTCAGCAGTTTCTATTAATTTACAGACCTGACCATATTTTAACAAGAAATCCATTTGCTTTAGATTTTATGACACTCCCTGTGTTTTCTTTTTTTATTTTTCCTGATTGGATGCCAGAGAGGCTATGCTTTAACTGGGGTTATGCTTTAGCTGGAGTGAAGGGCAAAAATAGTGATCCTGAGGGCACAGGGAGCAGCAGTCAGGCCCCACCCGGCATAGCCCAAGCCAGCTGGGCCAAGGATGCTGGCCCTAGTCCAGGGGTGTTTGGAGGAGTGGGTGAGAGTGGCTGGAGCCTCTAGGACTGAGGCTGCTTGGAGAGAAGGAAGACAACTCAGTAATCCATGGAACTGTGGGCCAGGTAGTCCTTGCAGCCAATGTTGCTGACATACTGGTGCTGCATCACCTCAAGCCTGGGGTAGTCCATGATCCAGTGGCCCAGACCCCTGCAGAAAGTACCGCCACACCTTCATCTGATGTCCAGTAGGGACTCGTTCCCACAGTGCAGCACCTGAAGCACAGGTCAGGCCTTCTGTTTTTTACAGCATCTAAGATGATGCCATATGAGCCAGCTCAGCCTCTGAACTTGCCCACCAACCTTTCCTATCTGGTACTTTAAAAAGTGCCCCTCTATACCAAATTCAAAGGATTGAAGTTGTCAACGATTTCATCTTGCTTTGATCCACAATCAACATTTTTGGTACCAGCAGTCAAGACACTGTTTGGGAAGTCTGAAGTCAGGTTCCTCTCCCAGTTACTGAGGAGCAATGATTTCAAAGACTGAGGTGTGCCCCATTGAGGTCATGGTCTTTTAAATCATTTGCTATACCTCCGAGAGCTGGACAGTGAATAAGGATGACAGAAGAAGAATTGGTGGCTTTGAGTTGTGATGTTGGAGAACAGTATGATATCACATGGATAGCTAAAAGAACAGACAGGCATATCTTGGGAAAAGTATAGTCAGAGAGTTCCTTTGAAGGAAAGATGGCAAAACTTCATCTCACATACTCTGGCCATGTTGTTAGGAGAGCTTATTTCTTGGAAAGACACATTGTACCATGGTCAGTGAAAGAGAGGAAGACCCCTTCTCCCCAATGAAATGGATTCACGACCTAGTGACTGCAGCAATGGACTTAAATGTGTCAGAGATGCTCAAGATGCACAGGATTGGACTGGGTTCATATTTGTTGTTCACAGCATTGCTATGAGAGTCTTACTTGATTTTACAGCACCTAATAAGCAACAATAACGCCAAATGTAGAAACCCTTGGGGTATAGTACATAGGTCATGTTACTGCTAACCCAAAGAAAGGTCCCATCTGTCTGGAAGTTCAAATTCACTAGTAGTTCCTTGGGAGAAAGATTGACAATTATTTCTTATGCAATTTACAGCCTCAGAAACCTGATGGAGGATCAGTTAAGAGTTGTTCTAACTGCACTATGAGAGAGAGAGACAAAAAAACTAGGAGGCTCAGCAATAAATGTAATTGATTCATGATTTACCATTACCGTTTATTTTTTCTTAAAGAAAAACAAACAAAAGTCCTAAGAATTCATTCAATGATATTTTAATCTTCTGGAAATGGGCACCAAACAATTTTTAACATTATGGTAATATCCATCCATAAATTTTTTTTTGGATGTTCATCTATGGTGACCTAGTGGTAAGGAGTTGGACTGGCAACCCAGAGCTACAGGGTTTGAATCCACCAGTTGCTCCACAGAATAAGGATGGACAATCTTCTCTCATATGACTAACTAACTCTGAAAACCCACTGGAGGGTCAGCTATGGGTCTGTTCCAACTCAAAAATACACAATACCAACAACTATATAAGAGATAGGATCTGTTACTGAGTGCCTTAACAACAACAAAAACATAATAAAACTCTTTGTACCAACCAAAATGGTATGTGGTGGCACAATAGTTAAATACTTAGTTACTATCTGAAAGGTCATTGGTTCTAATTGACCAAGCAACTCTTTGGAAGAAAAGACCTGGTGATCTGCTGCTGTAAAGATCACAGCCTTGAAATCCTACAGGCAGTTGTACTCTGACTCAACCACATGCAAGCACTATCACCCACACAGAATTATGCACCATAAAATATTGTTTTAAATGAGAAGTTCAAATGCATGTTATATCAAAATAACCAACTTTTTCTAAAAAAATTATTTCTTGTGTGTGTACTGTCAAATCTGAACTGACTGGTACAGGAGGAGATAGCCCCTCCTTCTTCAGCAGAGCATCTGGTGGATTTGAACCACGTGCCTCTGGGGTTGCAGTGCAGCTTCTTGCCCTTAAAATAACCAACTTTTAAAAATTTTTTTAAATGTTATTTTATTATTTTTGTGTGAGTATACCGTCAAATTAGATCTGACTGGTACAGAAGGAGATTGTCCTTCCTTCCCTGGCAGAGTATCTGGTGGATTTGAACCGTGCACCTCTGGGATTGTAGTTGCAGCTCCTTGCCACTAGGCCACCAGAGCTCCCTTTAAGATAACCAACTTTTAAAAACCATTAAATATAACAATAATAAAACAAAGTCTAACTTGGATTTTACTTTGTGAACTCCCAATTACAGATTTAAATTATGTCCCTGATATTGCCAGTACTAGATGCTTACATATTTTTCCTCATAATAGAATAAGATGATTATGTTGGCTTTCCAGAGGCTGATGGGTCCAGATTAACAAATGTAGCTACTAATTCATTGAATTACAAAGGACAAAGAATGATATATGATAGACACATGATCCAATTGTAGCTAAAGCAGACTTTATTTTCTACAAATCTTATGGAATATGACCTGAAAATTAAATTCTTCTATTCCACTGTCCCTTGTGTGGACAGCTGAGTGATGATGTAAGATAATGGGAAGTGACATTTTAGAGAGTTAGAAGGGTGTGCTCAGTGTGAGGCTTCCTGGAGCCTGTGATGCTAACTTTGTCATTAAAAAATCAGGAGTCAGCAGATGGATGATAGATGGTAAAATATTGAAATATGCATGATGCCTGGAAAACGATGGAAGCATAGAGTCCAAATGAGGCATTATTTGTCTTAAACAACATCTGTGACATTTGATCTTTAGAAAAAGTTATTTTAAAATGCACACACTCTTTAAAAAGATAGAACTTGCAAACAACAAATGCTAGTGAAGTTGTGGAGAAATTGCAACTCTTTTTCTGTTGGGAATGTAAAATGGTACAACCACTTTGGAAGGTGGTCTGGCCCTTTCTCAAAAAACTGGAAATAGAAATATTGCTTGACCCAGCAATTCCACTGCTGGAAATATAACCTAAAAAAACCAGAGCCACAACTCAAACAGATGTATGGACACCCATGTTTATGGCCACATTATTCACAATAGCAAAAAGATAGGAGCAACACAAGTACCCACCGAGAAATGAATGGATAGAAAACTATGGTACATCCACATGATGGAATACTATGCAGCACTGAAAAACAATGAAATAGTAAAACATTACACAACATGGGGGATACTTGAGCATATAATGCTAAGTGAAATATCTTGGTCACAAAAGGACAAATGCTGCATAACACCACTGGTTAAAATAGGACAGACATGGGGGTGTTGGAAAGGGAATGGAGAAAAAGTGAGTAGATAGAGAACACTGCATTAGAACAGATAAGGGGAAGAACTGTCTGAAAGGAATGTATGATTATACATTATATATATATGAGAACAATCTCAAACAAGGGGTGCATTCATAAGGATGGCTGGGGAAGATCAAGTAAAGTACTATAACAAAATGTGCAAAGACCTGGAGTTTGAAACCAAAAGAAAAGAACATGCTCAGCATTTCTCACACAGAAAGAGGTGAAGGGAAAAAAAGTTTCAACCCTCAAATTGCAGTACTGAAAGATTCTATGGGCAAAATATAGAATGACGGCGAAGTTCCAAAAGATGATGAAAGGAATACATAGTCACTGTCTCAAAAAGGATTGGTTGATCCTGAAGGAAGAAGTGCATGCTGCACTGAAGGCATTGGAGCAAAAAATTTCTTCAGGAATTGATAGAATACCAATTGAAATACTAACAAATGAGTGCAATATGGATATACTCAATCGTCTATACCAAGGAATTTGAGAGACAACTACCTAGCCAATCAGCTGGAAGAGATTGTGCCCATTTCAAGGGAAGGTAATCCAACAGAAAAGGGAAATTGTGTAACAATATCATTACTATTACACAAGTAAAGTTTTGCTGTACTATTGACAGGGAACTGCCAGAAATTCAGCCTGGACTCATCAGATGACTTGCTTTCATAGTTAGTTGTTGCTGTGTGCTGTGACTCATACTGACCTTGTGAACAATACATGGAAACCTTGCCCTATTTTATGTTCTTTCTTCCTACAATTTTGCCTATTTCAGAATGTGTATGGGAAGTACGTAGCCTTTGATTAAGACTTCTTTTCCTTACAATAATGTATTTTTATGCCAAGTAAGACTTGGATAATAAATAAGGAAGACCGTAGAAGAATTAATGCCTTTGAACTGTGGTGTTGGTGAAGAATACACCAACGGACTGCCAAAAGAACACTTAAGCCTGCCTTGGAAGAACTGTAACGAGGATACTACTTAGAGGCAAGGACAGTGAAACTTCATCTCACACTTTGGGCTTGTTGTCAAGAGCAGCCAGTCCTTGGAAAAAGCCAGCACGCTGGGGAAAGGAGAGGACCAGCAAGAGAGAGGAGGACTGTCAATGAGGCGGACTGACACAGACACAGTCACTGCAACGACTGGCTCATTGCTAAGACCACAATTCAAAGGCCAGATTCTTCCTTAGACT